TTGGAACTGTTATTCTTGTCCTTTCGATTCCTTTTGAGTAATTCGCGTCCACTTCCGTCGCTATGAAAGCGGATTATATGGTGTCTGAGATTCCTCTTCTCGCTGAAGCCGCGACCGCATGTCTTGCAGATGCAGGGCTTGAAGCCGGTGTGAACCCTCTCGTGCCGGTGGACAGAGAAGATTCGGTCAAATGTTTTGTCGCAAAAGCGGCACTTGAACTGTCCCGGAGAGGTCTCCTCGATGTCACCGATTCCTTGAGGGAATTTGTGCGACAATTGTACCACATTTTGCATGTCTTTAATGACTTTAACTTTCATATCAGAGGAATGTTGTGATTCTGGTTTGGATTTAATTGATTTGTTTTGTAAAATAGATTTCTTGTGCGATCTGTAATGGTTTTGATTGTGTTTATCGTCACAAACAGACATTCCTTCGGATAAACAGTTATTATTATTGTTAATAAATAAATTGTTATTATTATTGTTGTTGTTTTCAAATGAATGATTGGGCGATAGATTGTGTCCAAAGTCCGCACCCATGAGTACGAGACTCGGATGTATGAAAGACGGAATCGATAGATGACCACCACTTTTGTCGTTGTGATCCATCGCTTTGTGGAGCTGTTCGTGAAGAGTGAGTTCACTCCTCCATTTGAAATTAGCCCCACATTTATCACAAGTGAACTCTTTGTTAGCGTTGAGATGACTGGCCTGAAGATGCAACACAACTGGTTCTAAGCTCGGAAATGCAAACCCGCAGAGACAGCACTTGTACAACACGTAACTTTGTTCTGTCACCGGATGAATGCCCTCTAACATCGTTATCAACAGTTTCTCGGACTTGATTTGTATACTTCGGGCGCCTATATTGAGAGGAGGGGCGCCCATATCCACGCTCTCACTCTTGGTCTGGTTCTCGTCCTCGTTGTCGTCATCGATGGCCTCATCGCTGTGTTCGCCATCAATACTGGTCTCGTCTTCACAATTCTGTTCCTCACAAACCTCTTCCGAAATCATTTTCTCTTTTGCTTCGTTTCGTTTCTCGGAATCAATATTTATATTACTATTTATGTCTTTTGATTCATTTTCCATATTATTCTTTATATTATTATTATTAATATTATTATTGAGACAATTATTGTCGTTGTTTACAGTATTAGTGGTGTTACTATTAGTATTGTTATTATTATTACTGTTATTATGGTATGATTTGATGTGAAAATTCAAAGAGTGCTCGTATTTGAATCCTTTACCACAAGCGAGACATACGAATGGGTGTTGAGTCAAGTGTCTCATGAGATGTGCCTTTAAGTCGACTTCAGTGGCAAATGTCTTATGACATGAACTACACGGGAATGCATTAGTGTTTATGGAATTAATCGCTTCTTTCGTTTGGTAAGAGATCTTGTTTTTGTCTTCATGTTTGGGTGAGTGGCAGTCATCCACTCGTTTCTTCCGACCCTTAGTTACCGAGACGTCGAGCGGTTGTTCACAATTCTGACTAAAGTGTTTTGATTTTCGTTTCTTGGATGACATGAGAAGACCGTGAATGCGATTCGGTTTGAGTCCATCTGTCGTATTGAGTGCAACAAAAATAAAATTAATGTCTTTATTATCGATGGCTATAATTATTGAAATGCTTTCTCACATTTGAGATATTCAAGTGGTTTATCCATTGAATCCATTGAATGCGATAACATATGGTTTTCCAATTCATTGCGATCTCGAGTCACTCGACCGCATATTAAACACATATTTGGACTGTTGTTCACATTATTTGATTCATCATTTGATTTCCTATTGAACATCAAATTAACAGCAAAATTGTAGTCTAATTCGTGACAAACATTATTAAATAAGCATTTATTTCAATGTAATAATACTCTTAATTACAATTATTCTGTAATGAATTCTGTAAGCAATTTGCATAAGAATATTCATAGATATGATAGAAACGTGTGATCACTGACCCAAATGCTGATGAATTGGTGGTGTGGTTGATGTCCATGAGGTGAGACATGTGAGACATGGCAGCGGCCGCTGAGATGGCAGAGGCTGTCATTGGATTCTCCCATAACCTTAAGTGACTCAATGAAAGCAATGATGAGATACTACTGCGCGACGGCATTAAGGCATGAGTGGTCGGGTCGAGAGATAGTGAGTCCACACTTGAGTGGACCACTGGTTCATAGTGTGCGGGAGTATTGTTTTTGCGGGTCTTTGTTCGGCCACTAGTCATGTGTTTAGATAGGGATAAATCGAGTTGAGGCGTCTCTGACTCTAACGCTGTCCGTCTATCCATTACTTCACTGCAATATTCGCATCGCTATAACGCTATTACTATTCCACTCCTCGCTATACCATCTGATTATAGGAATATAATTCAAATCATGTTATCATTGCATTCAATTGCATTGCATTTCACATAAATTTCTAATTTATATAATGCTTTCGAATGACATTTTTGGTAGTGATTGTAGTGAACGACATATCGATAGTATTAGTGAGACGACAGATACTGTACTCGCGACGAGAGTGTCGGTCACTAACCTTTTGGCAATACGTGTGAACACAATCTCGAACTCACTCTCAAAACTGAAACTAACATTATATACAACACTATAACACGAGTTACACGACAAGCACTCGTACGAAATGCCATTCGGTCAGCCATACAGACACAGCCCATGCCATACCAAACCATACCAACCGCGACCCTGAGCTAAGCCTTTTCAATCATACGTGAAGCTTATAATACGGTTAAGTGAACACAAATTTATTGTGTGATACGACAGGTATTGGAATTACAGAGTAGACTATAGTATGGTCTCCACGACCCCCTCCATCTCCTCTCACATTTTACCGGATATTATAACGCTTTTTACTTTAGCTTTTGCTTTAAAGCAAATAATTGACTATAAATTATAATTATTTTTTGTCATTAATAGTAGTGAATATATTTTATTCCTCTCATATCAAAACTCATTCATATATTCTGTGTTTTAGCACAACCTCTGCATATATTTTCTTTTCTTATTAATTAAAAAAAATAATAATCATAAATATATATTTCATAATTACATAACGGAATTAAATATTTATAATGTTTGTCTGTTTGATATTAATATCTGTACACAAAACAAGGCAACGGCAGGGAATCCCTCGTAATCTAAACTTTATGTAAATAAATATTACCCACAAAACTATCTCAATTCAGTAATACTGTCAATACTGTGATCTGATTTGTGTCTAGCAATCGATTTGTGTGTTTCACTTCACTTATAGTTTTAGTTAATCCAAAATAAATATATAAAATACAAAATAATACATAATATGTTAATACAGTGTTTGAATAGAATTTTATATTTTAATGAATAGCAATACAAGAATTGTATTTTGTGTTCATTAAAGTCAACATAACTTCACTTCTCTTAAATTATTTTCAACGAAATAATAAAAACAAGTTTTGATAGAAAAGGACATTAATTGTTGATTAGATAATAAGAATTGAATTTATATTCATTTTTCTGAAAGCAATTATAAAAATTGAATTAAAGCTCAATAATAATCACACATTGAATGCAAATGAATGTGAATGAGAATCGTGTGAAAGATATGCAAATCATTAGTGAAATGTCTGTTGTTTTGGAGAATAGAGATGTTGTGGTGGAAGAAGACTGGAAGCCATAGTGGGGTCGATAGGAGATAACAGGAAGCCGTTGCCGATGCCTGCAATTAATGTCAAAACATTGGCTAACCTGTACTGTATTGGCTGTTGTGTGCACTGTATGTGACGGCACTGTATGTCAGACAACCATAAACTCATTGCATGAGATCGAGTGAATGCAGTTCTCAATGTATAGTTCTATCGCCAGTTCTCTCTCTCTCTCTCTCTCTCTCTCTCTCTCTCTCTTTCGCTCACATTCTATAAACTCGTGCCAAAAGCAACTCAAGGATGAAGAGAAGAAACAAAAGAAACAAAGACTGCGACTATGACTATCAGGTCTATCACTACATCCAATGCATTGCAAACATTAAACACAAAAGTGAGAGAAAAAGACATTTGATATAAAGGGAGAGAAATTGTTGGAAATGATTGCTTTTGTGACCATTGGTTGTATTGAATGCATGCACTAATGTTATGGAGAGTTCGTGTAGAATGCGTGCCATTTGTGGTGAGCGTAGAGCACATGCATGTGTGCACCTGTGCCTCACTCAGTGCCACAGCCTGTGCTGTCTATGCGATGCCATACCTGCTATACACCTGCACTGCAACAACAATACGGTTCTGACAATACAGTGAAGGCCTGTCTGTCGTGATGTGAGACACGCAGCAAATGAGAGGCCGAGTCGACGGCACTGTAGGCCTAATGAAAGCAAAGCTCAGCTCATATTTATTGCATTTCTCAGTATCGCTGAGAACGTGCTCTCAATGTCTTCGCAGCGCACGAGAGAGACATGTCTTTCAATAAATGAGCCATCATTTGGTCGTATTGTACTCATCCATAGCACACACTATAACACATTACAACACACTCTCTGAAGCTATCACTTGACCAACACATCCATTCACTCCCATTCCCATACACTATACACAACACATACACTCTATGCCAGTTTGATATGGATTTTGGGCTCAATTCCTATACCAATCCACTACTAGTATTGGCTATACTGTACTAATGTGTGGATAGTGTAGTACACAGTCTACTCCACACACACTCTACCAACACATATGAGTCAAACCTTTTCATATAATCTTTTCGCACAAACATATCATTCAAACCAAACTCTCCTCTAATTAGTAAAAATCATTTCATTTACCTTTAAATGCAAATTATGGCCAAAAATGATGACACGTTTAGCTATGAATCCGACAAAACTCTCATAACATTCACATCAGAGTTAGACTCAAATCTAAACACAACTCCAGACTCAACACTAACACAGAGGCGGAGCTCACTATACACTGCCCTCAGAACAAGTTTGTACACATTCTAGTGCCACAGCTATTCTTTGATCATGGTTGTACACCACTTGTGCACACCAATTCTATTCATATCATTTATTTAGCATGATGCTAATACATCAGAAAATATTTTACTGGTACATTAATTTTAAATTACAAACTTTGTCATAAAAATTATAATTTTAGAATACATTGAAATCGATTTAAAAATTGAACATTCTCGTTTTGTTGCGGACAGATATTGCAAAAGCATAACTTCTCATATGTGTTGATAATATTCACATATAGTTCTCGTTTAAATTAGAGAAGTTATGTTTCGGATCTATACTTAATTCCATATAATATTCAAAACTCAATATAAATATTGTTTTATTAAATTATTTTTAATTAAAGAATTCATTTTATTATGACTTAAAATTACACTCAATTTAATATTCTCTATATTTTCTGCATTATTAATATTTTATTAAACTTTTTTTGTAAGTGTTAACAAGGACATTAATTGTAGTACAATGGGAATTCTAATGAAATATCAGCTAGATAGAATCATTTAAACATTTATACAATCTTTTAATTAAAACTATTAATTCAACCAAAATGAAGGAATTATTAATTGGATTATGATATTTATAAAATACAGTACATATAGTATTGCATTTAAATTATTGCATGTTTATTCAAACTATATTAAAATAATGATTAAAATATAGATTTGCAAAATTCAGTGTTTGGACTTATAATATGGCAAAATTGGTCAACAATTAAGAGTGTATTGCATAACGTATTGGTCGTCGGATTGGGCCGTATATTCAGGACTCGTATCCAACTCTAGTCTGAATGTCAAACTCAATCACCGCTTCATTTGCACGTAATTTATGTTCGGATAATGTAAACAAAAACATGATTTAAAATCACAATACAATCGCAATGCAATCAACTCTCACTTCACTCCTCATTATATAATTGGTTACAGTTTTGCCATTAATTCAATGTTTGATTCGTTTGTCTAAACATTGCATTCAATGGTTAATGAAATCAATTCAATTCAAACCATCGATTAATGCCTTCAAAGTTGTCTCCAAATAGTGTTTCGCACAACAAATGCACTGAATTTACAGTTTTTTAAATGTTTTACTCTTTATTACATCTCATGTCAAACTATATACACGTTTTGACACCAATTATACCAAATATTGTTTGCATTTATTAAACAATAATAACAATGAAAGTCATAATTAAATGCATTTATTGTTTATTAATAATATTGATGTCATGCAAACCAATTGTCACCAATTCATCGGATCCAACAGTGGATCACATGAACCATCACTTCAGGAGTGACTTATTGTTGCCAACCATTCAAGTGATACTATTAGTCAATCCATACAATAAGGCATCGGTTTTGCCCTTTAGTTTGGGATCAATTGAGCGACAATTATATCCCAAACATCTGATTAAAGTGTGGATCAAAACAGAGCTCTTGACGAGTGATCTGAAGGCAGTGAAGGGCCAGAAGAAAGAGTTGTTTGAAGAGATGCTTGACATGAATGCGATGACTGTCCAGATGTTGAGGAAATGGATTCGTGATAATCGGAAGCAATACAATGACATGGAGTTAGTCTTAGGACATGAATCACTCGATGGCACCAATAATGAGACCAAGTATTGGACAACTGATAGATTTAAGCATTTGATTGAAATGAAGAGCTTTGCTGTAGAGATGTCGCGACAAAATTGGGCACATTTTGCACTCGTGATGGACTCGGATGTGGTTCTCACACACAATGAAGTGTTTGCTGCGATGACAGCACACGAAGACATGATAGCAATGGCGCCAATGCTATACTCTTTGGGCACTTATTCCAACTTTTGGGCCGGAATTACAGAAAAGGGTTATTACGAGAGGACTGAGGATTATCTGCCAATTCTGGAGAGACAGCGGTTGGGATGGTTTGTCGTACCAATGATTCATTCGTGTCTTTTCATTAATATTAGACACAAAAAGTCATTTAATTTGACATTTGATTCGCGAGATATCGCACAAGAAGTGTCACCATTTGATGATATCATAGCATTCGCCAAATCGGCCAAAATTAATGCAATAGATCTTCGCATTAATAACGAAGAGGTTTGGGGTTATATTCCGCCGCCCATTGAGACCATGACTTCATTCAAGTCTATTGAACAGGATTTGATTGATTTACAGTTGGAATCACTAGTCGAGGGCCCGGAGTTTCCAATCGCCTCTTCGCTCACTTCATATATAAGCGATGAAAAGAGTGGCGACAAACTCGATGTCGACCACATTTATGTCATTAATTTGGTCCGAAGACCAGAACGACGCCAACGAATGATTAAATGTCTCAACATTTTAGGAATAGAGGCCCAGATATGGGATGCCATCGATGGCAAGCAATTGGACGATAAGTCTGTCGAGTCTCTGGGCGTTCACTCAATGGACGGCTATTTGGATCCGTACCACAAGAGACCGATTACTTTTGGCGAAATCGGATGCTTTCTCTCCCATTACAACATATGGCAAGATATGGTTCGCCGAAACCTATCGAAAGCAATAATACTCGAAGACGACGTCCGCTTTGAACGTGATTTCAAGAACCGGTGGCGCAAAGCGTTGTCAAAGTTTGACACAAAAACTCACGATTTCTTGTATTTGGGGCGAAAAATACAGGACTCGAAGAATGAAACTCTATTTAATGATGTGATGGTTGAACCCAACTATTCTTATTGGACAGTCGGCTATTTGATCACTGGATTGGGTGCACACAA